ATGGGTCCCATATTCGGACATGATCTAGGCGTTGTAAAGATAACAAGTTGTGAAAATTTGGTTCAAATCGGACCTTTCATTCGTCTGATATTGGATTTATAAATATTGAAAATTTTGACCATTTATGGGGGAGGTTCCAGAAGGATTAGACCAAAGGGTCCCATCATTGGAATTGATATAGGCTTGGTACATAAAATATGTTGTACAAAGTTTGATTTAAATCAGATAGTCCGTTTGCATGATATTACAAAATTAATTTTCAGCAACATATTGACCATTTTGTGTAGTTAGGATGAAATCTATTACTCTTTTCGAGAGTTAACGTACTCACCAGCCGACAAGACAGCCGGACGGACATGTATTTGCAAATCGAATCCGAATTTTCTGAGATGGATTTGGTCCAAGAAAGCAGTTTCGTCGTAACTATATAGAGCATTAAGCATACAAACTTCATATCAAGCTAATGGAGTATCTGATTGGATCCATTGATTGTACATCGTAATATTTTTTCCAATCGTATATTTAATTCGAAGATTTTGGTGTACATGACAACACTTCATGGTACCTCTCCATAGATGATAACAAATATTTATTATATAAAGCGAATGGTTTCATTGGATTCACTACCAAATATATTTGTTTACACCTCCAAGCACTGTGATGTTCTTGAACCTTAAGTATGCAAGCGTCAATTTCAAATTACTTAAGCCCTAAACGAGATTTCATTTTGTTTAACTAAGAGCGTAGTTTCAAGTTGGTTTGTGTATTTCGTAAAGAACACAACTGAAATGGTATATTGTAAAGAGGGAGGGAGTGAAACATTACGCGAATAGAAAACCAATGCAAATTAAAATATTTCCATTTCTATTTTTCCCCGATAATCCTTGAATGTTGTTAAGGTCGTGGTTTTTGTACAGCGAAGGAGATTACTTGCTGCTTTGGCTGCCGTTGTTGGCACTGGTCGATAACGACGACTCAAAAGACAACAACAACAACAACGCATCTGTAAATGAAACTAATAAAATTATATTTAGAAGAGAGATACTGTCCCCGTGCGGATGAGCATTTGTGTGTCTCTGGGTGGATGAGTGGGTGTGTGTGTGCGTAAGGATAGTAGTAATCGTTAATTTCGAACCTTGTCCTTTCATTGGAGAATAATAATAGAACTGTACAATGTTCTCGTTCTGCATATGGGCTGTCATGGGCGTGTGTGTGCTTAACGATGTTGGAAATTGTTTGTATTGTCATTTATAAATTTCCATAAAAGTGGAAATGGAAGCAAAAGTGAACAACAACTGCACAGTAAACATACAAGCAAATTATGCTGTATCAGCAACAGCAGTAGTAGTAGAAGCAGCAGCAACATCATCGTCAGATGTATGTTGCAACATTACGTGGAAATAGTATCCGTCGTCGTTAACGTCGTCATAGCCTCTGTCAACATTAACCCACACTGCAACACATGCACACACTCGATGCCCGACCCTGTTTACGAAACCAACATCAGAATGAAAACACAAAAATCTATGGTTCGCATAAATGATAAGTTTTACACTGACTGACATTAGATGAATGAACGAACTACGAAAACAAAGAATGCGGAAAAAAGAAGAGGGGGCCGGGGTGTCACGACACCGTTTCACAGCAAGTTTGACCTATTTTCAAGACTATGTTTGTGACGAATGCATGCCAACGACAACGAATGCCTTAAAGAGAACATGAATGCATAGCATCCGACGGATAAACAGATTGTCAAAGGAATAACACCACCAGACAGACAACATTATAAACTACAGCAACAACAGCAATAATAATAAGAACAACAGCACAGACATGGAAAAGAAAACTAAGCTCAGTGTACCCGTTATACCGTTTTGCTCTTTGGCCTGCACTTGAAGGATAACGATTTCAAAGTGCAATATTGCCTTTTTTTCTTCGGTGTGTAACAGCGTTTGCTTTGAATTTGTGGCTAGAACTGTGACGACGGCAGCGGCGACGACGACTGTTGTTGCAACAATTTGTTATGGATTGACCACCTGACACGGTTAGTGTGGCATGCAGTGGTTGTGGTGGTTGCGGAGGTGTTTGTGGCTGTGTGCAAAGAGACACCTAAATTAGGTTCCATTGGCACTTCCATTGCTGTGTTGTTCTTTGATTTTTGCAATGTATCTGCATTTGGCTATTCGCAATTTCCTTTTTCGTCGCCAAAGAGCAGAGGACAAAAGAACGAACACTTCAATTGAATGCCTTACAATTGACAATTCTATCCTACAGAAGATAACCTCGTATAACTTTAATGTGCTCTGACATTAAAACAGATTTCAGAAATTTTATGAAAATGAATATCCTTTGTGGCTTCGCTTCCGTTTGTTTAGCGTCTGGCCCTGCATCCGTACTTACCGTGGCGTTAAGCTCTAAAATCTGTTGCCTTCGTTGCTGTTCGATACGAGGGAAGAAAGATTATGTAAAATCCCCTGGGTCGTTAATGGACTATAATATAATATGATTTTGTTGTTGGTATTTTATTTTATATTGGTTGGTTGGTTGGTTGGTGGCAATGTAATTATTTCGTATAAGTAACGCGTTAAGTATTCGCCCGTATTCCCGTTGGTTCGTTGGTTTCTCGATTGGTTAGTAGCATTCAATTTGAATCACTTTCACTTCAACTTGATTGGCTTTATTTGTGGGTTGAGTGTGCAGTGGATACATTTTCATCCTTTTCAAGTGATACTGACGGCCACTGCTTTCACTTTTCTTTTCATTGTCCGTTCAGTTTTGCGTTCCACGAGACACGACGTGCTTTACTATCAACCGTTTCGAACCAACAGAGAGCTTTGATTTGTTTTAGATGCCAGTTTTCGGATGCTGTGTGGTTTATTGGTTATGAAATTTGACATTTTTACGGAGAAAGAGAACGACGAATATGATTTAAGAGAGACTAAAGAGAAATATTGTGATGTGTTTTTTGAGCTATGCGCATACATTGATATGCCGGTAATAGCGACATCTGTTTTTTATTCATGGTACAAATCCAAACTAAAGCTTTAATTACAGTTATTTAAGTTTTTTTATTCATAGATTCAAAATTTGATTGAAATCGGGTCCATTAAGCTATAAACTAAATTGATTACATATTAGTTAAATTTTATTGTTATTTATAATTATAATTTAGTGCTGTATATCATTGCTACTCAGTGTTGTATCTTATATATTAGGTATGCCTATCATATTGCGATGTAGCCTGAAACCACATTTTTTGTAAGATGAGGGTTCTAGCCAAATTTACCTGGTGAGTGCGATAAAAATTCTTTGGGAAGACAATTTGCAGAGTGGTCGATTTTATGTATTTTGGATGTGTAACTTATGGTGAAGGGTAGGTATCATAGTTGGGCAGATTTGCACACCAGCGTTGATGGGCTCTCTTTAAATTTTCCGAAATTTTTTTAATGAATTTATTTTTTGAACTTCCTCGGATTTTATTTATACTTTAAAAATATTAAATTTAATAAATTCCGAAGAAAAATTCATGTTTTTATTTTCCCTTAAACATTTTTTAAGAGAAATTTTGCTCAAGTTTCGACCTGGTGTGTTATGTGTTAAAAAATAATTTTTATGTTTTACTAACATTTAAATTTGGAAAGTACAGATATATGCGACCCTAATAAATGTATCCATTAAATCAAAATTTATTTATTTAATTTTTTTTTTTGTGGAATATATAAGAAGAAGTTGATCCATATAGCCCATTTAAACATCAAACATATGTTCAATATAAATATTAGGTTGTATAAAGTGTGGACCAAAGTAGATTCTCGTTATATGATGTAGATTTATGAAAAAAGGGTTCAGAGACCAATGCGCTCCATGATCTTGATTTGCTAAAAACGTTCGATACTGAATTCGCTTCAGACAATTTGTAAAAGTATCCAAAACGATGAACCTATGTGAGGGGGATACTAGAAGAAGTGGGCCGATTTTGTCCATTTTGGGGAAGTAACAAAAGGAGTGGACCTTCCTTTGGGAGAACCCTCCAAACAATCGGACATTACTATGCCGACTCCAAATTATCTAAGGGAGATTTGTGTTAAGGACAATGTTGACAGTGTCAAAGTTAAACATAATTACACATAAGGCAGAGTGTTGTTAAGAATCCGCACATGAAATAAGGTTAAGGTCATTTCATTTGAAATTTAAATCACTCCATTTGTAATTCAAAGCATTTAAACAAAATTACGGTGCCTATGCAAACGAATATACAGTTTTTTTTTAAATATATTCGATTATACCTTCGAGACGATTAATATACAAATTTGAGATTTACCTCCTCAATTATTATTGCAAGTGAAGGACGGCCATAGTTGAATCATCTAAGATTTCCACCTTGATGAATAACATATATACTTTATGAGGCCTGAATTTATGGTTTGAATGAATTATCTACTAAATTGCAAATTCAATACAACATCCATGAAATGGTGGATGATAAAATGAAACAAATCTTCTCTGATATAGTATAAATTATACATACACATACAAGTTTTAACATATCTACAAATTGTATTTACTTATATCACACGGTTTAATTACATCGATTTGCATTCTTATGTTTATAAGTTAACCTCATAGTCTGATTGATTTCGCTGTGATATTTGCAATTCTAATGAAGTCAACACTGAACTGTCAATAGGAAGGGGTTACATTGCTCTTCACGGACACCTTGGAAACGAAGTCAAATGCCGGGCTGGTTGTGTTTAGGAGTGGGTGAAGATGTAAATATTAGCATGTCATAATAAAGATAAATATTAACTACATCACGGAGGATAGACACATTATTTCTGAATAAAGAAAATAAAAACCATTGATTTCATATTTTTGAACAATGTGTTTATTTATTTGTTAACAATGTTTTTCGCTGATTTCAAAACAATCAAAGGATTAAAATCATGTAACGCACTCCATTCCGCACACACACACACACACACACACGCATTGGAATCTCTTTATCCCTTGGGCCATGTAAAATCCTTTTTGAACATGCCATAGGCAACCCAATAGAGCAAGTTGAATAAAGCAAAAGACATGGGAAAGGCAATTCGAGAAATGCGATCAATTAAGGATACACTGTTTACATAACGCATTCCTAAACGAAAAATAAGAAGATGAATATTAGGCGTGTTTACAAACAAATATTAGAGCAACTATTTACCTTTTTGTACCGCAGCTTCTCGTTCTCGTTGCTTGCGAAATTTCACATCGCCGATGAAACAGAGCCACATTTGTTTGCCCTTCGAAATGACGGGAGGTTCAGTTTGTGTCGTCCGCTCCATGGTTGATGCATGCGACGAGGGGCATTGAAAAATATGAGTCGGATCGTTATATATTGGACAGATCATGGCATTGCGTTTACGAAAACCACCCGGTTGAGTTTGACAAATGTCAGTGGCCAACGATTCGCTGCTCTCCCTCATTGATGGTAATTCTATTTCATGATCAATATCGTCATCATCAATTTCTTCATCTTCAATGTCCTCCCATTCATCTTCGCTGATTGTGGGTATTTCACCACTTCCCACCTTGGTGAAATAATGAACACCGGCAAATTCCAGTAACGTTGCTATACAATACAAGAAACTCATCAGTAGGAACCAATCTAGGGCAGTGGCGTATTTGACTTTTGGTAAATCGGTACGCGAATCCAAGCTAATGGTGGAGAGGGTTAGGACCGCTGTAACACACAAACCAACACGATCACTCGTCGCTTCACGGTGTATCCAAAACGATACCCATGATAGGACAACAATCAATATACATGGGACATAGACCTAATAGGAAGGAAGATACAATATCAAGATATTACTAACGGGGGAAAATAATAATTATTACAAAGTGATTATAAGCCAATCTTGTCAGACACACCGATTTCATGGTACATTTTCGAATGTTCGTTCGCATTGTTATTAGATGTCACCTAGATGTGACAATGTTGAATTGTATTCATTTATGTTGATATTATGATGTATTTCAAACAAGGGTACTATACCATATTGAATGCTTTTATTAATGTTTGAAATGTTTTAAAAAATCGTGGAGTTTTACTGTAATGTACCGTATAGTTTCCTTGGTTTTCCTTTGGTATACAGGGACTAGAACAATTTTTTGTCATATATTCGAATTTTATGATTTTAGAGTTGGTGATTAGGGCATTTTCAGCATGTTTTAATATTTTAAAACATTATTTTATGTTAGTATACATATGATCGATTACAGAAAAAGTTTCAGGACTAATTTGAAGAATAATTAGAAAATAACGGACAATAATCATTATTTTAGTCTCTGTATACCAAAGCGAAACCAAGGTAGTTTCTGACTTCCACGAGTCGCCACGTTGACTATGATTGTTTCGGAGTGTTTATCATTTAAATATGGATTTAAATATATATATATATATATATATTCTTTCAATATATATGATTTTGAGTTCCTACATCTAGATCAGATCCGTATAGACTAACCGCAAAATATTCCAAGTTTTGCGGCTATGTACAAATGTACCACGGTTATTGTTCTAAATACGTAATAATTTTAAAAATTCATAAAAATTATATATATGGAAAATATTTATAATTTTTTCTTCAGTTATGGGTGAAAATACCTGAAGAATGATTCCTCGATATTTGATCAAAATATATTTATTATTGAAAATTTTACTACTCTTACAACTAGTTCGTGAAGAATATCTATGTGACCGAGCTGACCAATTTTGGACCGACAATTTATGAGAAGAAATTGGTTCAATAGATTCAGTTATCGGATTTAATGTAGGTTTGCTACATATATGATGATGAACATTTGATGAATATTGAATTTAGAAACATTAGTTATTTGAGCAAAGACACATACGCTATTTGGACTTCTCGAACGCCAAATACTTCTTCTTCTCTTAACTTAAGCAATTTCACAATTCAAAAACTAAGAAAAATGTATAGCCAGTTATTTGTAATACTACCTGTATCAGAAAATATCCTGTATGTCTCTTTAAATTGAAGGCAACATGAAGTGTTGAAAAATCACCCTCCCTTCTTGCGTAGGTTAGATTGCGGCTCCTCATACTAATCAAATCGAATTGATTGAGAGTCATGCCTGGTACAAATGAGACCGCTTCATCGCCGCCTCTCCATTCGTAGACCAATTGGCGGCTGGTGTATCCATCTGAAATGACAACAACAATCAAATATGTCTTCCTTACCTCGGAGGTGGGTCTACTTACAACTGCCAAAAATTAAAGGGCAAGATTGGCGATCCATGGGGAAGTTTTTCAATTCCATGGGGCATGTGGCCTTGATGGTTAGTCTAAAAATTAGTTGGATGGCCATAAATAAGTCTCCTAATTAAATATTCATTAAAAACATTTTACCTCATTGAATATAAAATGCCACCATCCTGATCTAAACGCAAGAGTTTATTGGGCACCGTAATCGTGTGGATATGAGAGTGCTTGCCATTATAGAAATATGTATCTGGTCTCCAGATTTTATCCAACATCTGAAAGATAATTGAATTAAAATCTACTATTTATGAATAATAACGACTGTTGCCACAATTAGCCTACCTTAATGCTCAACGAAAGGCTTTTGATAGGTCCCTGAAAACTCAAACGTTTGTCCTTCCAGTATTGTCGAAAATAACAATCCATTGAATAATCCATATCGAGTTCAGACACTGGACCCATGCTGCGTATCAAAATATTCGTTTGTACGACCGTTGGTATGCCTAATGCCAGAAATTGTTTTAAATAATATGTATGCAATATTGTGTATGTGTGTGTGTGTCATACATACCTTGTCCATGTGTTGGCAACTGAGATTGCTCATAACTTTTGAGTAGATTTTCCAATAGTATAGAAATATTTCGACTTAGCATATCTGTTGAGGCTGTTCGCTTTTGCATACTATTTGGATCTGAGGCATTGTGACTACTCTTGAATACCGTAACCCGTTGAGTTGTTGTATAATCGCCGGGGAAACGTCTTTTTCGATATGGATTGGGATTTTCAATTTCCACATTTGGTACTATGTTGTCGGTATAATCGTTATTATCACTGTATGAACTGTATTTAAATAGTTTGGAATGAAATATCTATGTCGTAAATATATAAAATTTAAGAATTCTGGCCACTTACTCAACTCCTGCGTTATCGGTGCTGGTATATGTTTCAATGGTCTTGTTCTTATTCCAATTGTGTTCCATTGAAATCCATGTTGCTGTTGGTATTCCATGGCACTGCAGTTTTAAGAATCCTATTAAGATTAGCAAACTGAAATTGTAAAAATATAGAAATCAAATTTGGGGTCGAACATTGTTGAATTGGATATACATTCGTAATACTCCAAAATAGAGATCGGAATTGTGATCATTGTCAAGTGATCACGAATTATTGGTCTTATCGCATTTTTAAAATAATGTTGTATCATGACTACTAAGTCTTTAGAATAAAATGTATTTAAACCTCTGTTGGATATGGAATGGTTCGATTAAGTTCATATTCACATAGCTGAAAATAAGTTTATATCGATTTGTTTAGTGTTTGTGTAGAAGTTCTGATAATGTGCCTCAATAGTGTAGGGCGATGAGGCTTTCAACGCTATATGAAGTATATGGAAAAGCGGAACTATTTCAAACTTAAAGTGCATCTATCCAATGCAACATGTGTGTACAAAGTTGCCTTTTAGGAAAATTCATCATGCACATGGAATCGGATGGAATTACATATGGAAACTACATATATCTAATTGTGAACCGATGGATATTCACCATTTTGAGGAGAATAATCAAATGGAGTTATACTCGTATATAACTCGATACATGCTGTATAGAAAATATTTCGAAGTCCGATAACAGAATTTATATTTACGGAGACACCTTCAAAAAATTACAACCCACCGAATTGATCTAAAGATTAGATTAAACAATATTACATTATTAGGAGAGATAATCATAATGTGTCAATAATAAGTATATCAATAATGTTATTATTAAGGTTGTATGCAATTTAATAGTTGGCAGACAATGAATAGTCTGTCTGACACAAAATGAATAACGTGGAAGAACAATCTGTTCAAAGAGGATTTATATATTGTATACACAACAATTGATCTGGCGTTATCATAGAGTCCAGAATCAAGTAATAAAAATACTTCTTTATTTCCACATTACTTGTTTTATTGACACATGTACAACAATGAAATTGTTAATGTCTTCTCTGTTAAGCATATACATACCTAGTATGTGTGAATTCCTATCACCTAGATATGTTACAACTCTCATCTTTGGTAATTATACGCCTTCGTGCGTGTACGTTCACTTGGACACATCAGCCCTAAATTGTTGTCTGAAACTGGGTTTCCTTCAGGAAATTCACATGGAGCGCACACGCCTGTCTTTACACACTTGATACAGATGCAACATCGGAGGGCAAGAACATTTGCACCGCTGCCAATGCTTCTTCCTATGGCGGCAGCTACACTGCCATGATGTCAATTCTAATTTGAACTAAAAGTCTTGATCTCGTTCATCGTCATTAGGACACTCATTTTTTGCCAACAATCAGCACAAATGCTAAGGACAATGTGAGCGGGCGAATGTGACATAAAAGGAAAATGTCTCAAGAGACTCGTAAAATTTCAACTAAATAATGACAAAGCAAATAGTGAGGAACAAAATTGTCAGCCGGCAACGGGGGATGGTGGCGGTAGAAATTAGTGCATGTTTGATTTTGCTATGTAACTAACCACTGGTTCTTGTTGTCGTCCAGAGTTTATAGTCTTCGTGGTATGTACTTCATAGCCAGAAGTCACTTTTACCATCACGTTTCAAGTTGTAACTCATATGCGTTCATTTCAACACAATTAAAATGTGTAAATGGAACGAATTCTCAGTTGTTTTTTTTTGCATTTTGTATTTCTTGCACCTTTTTGTCGTAGAAAACACTTTATTCGTTCTATTGTTTTATTCCATTTTATGATGTTATTATATACTTGTCAAACTACTAAATTCTTTATTATTGTTTGTTAAAAAGAAAATCCATTGTATGTTTGCTCGGCATTGAATGTTGAGGGGAGGGGTAATGTGTGTAATTTTTAAATCATACAATAAAAAGTGTTAAAACTATGTACTATATATATATATATATATATATCTCAAGAGGATAATGGTTTTATCAAAAATTTAGCTTTGCGTTTTCAGCTTTATGACAACTTATGGTATAAACAAGAGATGCTCTTAAGATTCTTATTGTAAGGTACAGTAATATTCGATATAAACCAGGTACATCATGCAACCTACTCTAATAATTATGGTCATATGTGTACAAAAACCTGTTGATAGAATCTTTGGCTGACCACTGACATGAAATTGGACAACAAATATATATTTTTGTATATAGATATATGAAACTATTTTAATCAACCCATACACATGACATTCAATAATCTATGTAAAATTCATTGCCAATTGGGCACAATTAGAGTCTTTGGTGTACCATTTGCATGAAATCGAAGAAAATAATGTATGTGTATGTAAATCTGGTTCGATTTGAAGGGTATTTGACAGAAAAATTCATGCTGCAACACAGCACTATGTCAAAAAATATATAAGAAGAAAATATATATGAGAGCTATATATATATCTGAAATTATGGGAATATATAAACCTTTTTTAACGAAACTTACCGCTCACAATTATATACTCAATACGGAATGATATTTCAAATTTCGTCATAATGGGACAAACATAGGGAGTATATTGCACAATTTAGGCAAAATGGGATGAACATATATATATGGGGGCTATATTTAAATGTAAAATGATATGCTAAATTTAACAATATCTTGGAAATCAAAAAAAAAAAATATATATATATATATATAGAGATTAGAATTTGCACACATAATTCTAGACTCAATTTAATACGCTACTAGCAAATGTCCTCTACTTCGTTATAGTTCTAGCTCTACAGGTTCGCCAAATACAAATGATACCATATTAAGTACATTTTGTTAGGTTCTAGTACGAATTTCCAAAACCCCAGCCTTATCTGTCTCCTTTGGACCCAGAGTGACCCTCAACCAAAATGTGAAGATTGTAGCTTCAGCCGTTTCGTCTGGGCGTTGATGAATCGCTAAGTCACTCAGTCAATCAGCCAATCACTTTACTCTCTTATTAATACAGATTTACACTCTCTTGAAAATCTAAAGAAATATAGGGTATTTTGTATACCATTCATATAAAATCGGACGAAAATACATATGGAAGCTATATCTAAATCTGAACCGATCTTCAATATTAATAGGGTTCGTCCTTGAACCAAATAAGTGGACTGTGCCAAACTTCATCTCATTCGGATGATAAATTCGACCTGTACTTTGATTACAGTTTAACATGGACAGACAGACGAATGGATGATTCCATGCATATTCTCAAAAGTCGAACGAAGTCGACTATATAAAACACTTTGTAAAATCCATTTCGTTTAAGGACAAGATGATTATGTTTTTAATGACCCCGCAAATATATATGGGCAATATTGATAATTTTGTATAACTCGGGAATTATTATACTATACAAGAAAAATGTAATACTCTTGTATTAACTTTTCATAAAACTGACCTCTAAAGTTTTATTTGTTTGAAAATTGCTTCAATGTAAAAATGGGTAAAGGCAGGCTGAGACAATCAAGTTTTTGTGTTATCTCTCGATCTGTGACTAAACCACACATTTCACTACCTTCGTAAAATTAAAAGTAGAAGCCTACAAAATGAGGATTACGTCTCTTATGCATCGCCCTGTTATTTCGAGCTACGGGAGTTCATATGCTGGCATTAAAACAAAATTTTAAATAATTTTAGCTGCTCAATAAGTGACTATAATAACTATGTGACTATATAATAAGCCTATGCTACCTTGGACATTTCGAAATAATTTGCTTGGTTCTATATATATATATATTTATAAGGACTAACAAACGTACTTACAACCTTAATACGTGCTCAATATTATGGTAGATAAACGACTTTTACTTCAAATAATTTAAAATCCAATAAATATAAAATTCCATAGAAAGTCGTTTTCGCTGACATTGTGTCACTGCATCTAGTGGACAAAAGAGAACAACCACAGAGCCTTAGGCTTGTAAACAGCATAAATTGAAAATAACCTGCTTGCTTTAAGACTTTAAGATATATGACTTACTAACTGTTCTGTGGTCAAGACAGGGGTTGTGTTGATGCAGATAACTGTCATAAGGTGGTTCCATCTCAGTTAGCCTTTTTATGTACGCACAGATTTGAAATGTTTTTATTTTTCAATATTTAGCTAAACAGAATGCAACATAAGTTGATGTTGCATGACATTTGCATTCCAATTAAATTTAAGGTAATCCGTTCAGTTTATTTGAATCGATCTTAATACAAATTGTAACCCCCCCCACACACACACACGCATACATGTTGACTTTTGTTAACGAACAACCTGTTAGGCTGCAGTAAGATCTCAAGACAGAAAATGGCCACCTCTGACACAAAATGATGTATTAATCTGTGAAATCAGTTTTCTCACGCCACTTTGCGAGCGTATTGACAGTTCACCTGGTTGCAGGTTGCTTGAGCAGGTCAACCATCATTGAAGGGTAAGTCAAACCAAAAATGTAAAAGTATTTAGCCAACGGCTATATTCACGGCAATGTCATGTTGCAACAACAGCTATAGCATTGACAGCGTATAAAAGCTACAGCCAGCAGCTACAGCAACAGCAACAAATGTTTTGCAAAGACACTAAACATGTAACATTATCATCATTCGTTCGTTCGTTCGTTTGTTCGAGAGCGTGAGGAAAGAAAGATGTTCTATGCTGTGTTGGGTGTCTGTGTGGTTGTAATCACATTTGACTCTTCC